CATGAATATGAGGGAAACATTCAACCTGCGAAAATTTGGGTTGAAGTTACGGATAATCAGTGAACAACGTCAAACTTGTAAACGCTGAACCATTCCGTTTTCCTGACGTCGCCCATATTCCTCTGAGTTTTCGATCACTTCGCATGCGTGATTCCAAATTGTTAATGCGTGTGATGATAAGTCATAACAACATTACATTGTTGTCCTTTATAAAACCTCAGTCATTCTGAAACCCCTGCAGACATGCTAGGCTGGATCTGACAATTTTCTATTGCAATAAATAAGACCAATATGGGTCATGCATAGTTACATTTTATGTTCAACGATGTACCTGTTAGACATTCTCCTTAAGGTCTCTCGAGTTATTTGAGTGCTTATTGGAACATGCCCGGCTTGATGTTCGCCGTAACGAGTTGGTGGAAGCCCATGCTAGGCAGTGATTGTTGCACAACGTTTTACGGGTGCACATGTAAGTTAAAAACGTCTTAGTCATAAATCTCATTTACCTGCTCGTGTGGTCGATCATGTTGCAGGAAATTAACTGGTATGCGTAATGTAGTGAAAAACCACACGCGGAAGCAAACGTGCGGATGAAAATTTTTGCCTTATTAGGGACCTTTCCTTTTTAAAATTGGCACCTATATGGATCAGTGTAATATACTACAGAGTAACAAGCATTATTATTGCTAAAGTGGTGGACCTTACGATAACTAAATGCTCTAGAGAAGAAGTATTCTGTCATGAGCCGTCACGAGAAGTATTCATTTAAACAAGCCTACTGCAAAAATCATTGTTCACACTGATTATAACTAATGTTTGATACCATAAAGATTCTTTTCCTTTCCTAGTTGCACCTGTTTCTATTTTATTTGCATAGGGTGCTCAACTCCCGAATGCAGACTGAATGTATCAGTTTCCGTGATTGCTCTCTCTTTTTGAGCTTTTTCCAGTCATCCGTTGAACATCTGCTGGTGATGTAGGAATATTCCGGAGGTTTTCTATTAGGGCTCCTTTCTGTTAATTAAGGCAAGAAGTCGAGGATGCACAAAAGCCGAGAAGCACTCTAGGGTTTTTCCACCCGTACTGAGAATCATGAACAGTGTGCATCGACCTAGCGATTTTCCGGCTAGTAGATGAACAATAAATTGCTCTGCCATGACAGGCGAACCAGAACTGACGAACTTTCTCTTAGACAGGATATGGCGCTACTCATCTTTCAACCACATCACATGGTCGTGTGTTCACTAGATCCTTGAGAGAAATTTCCCACATGGTGTGCATTGCCCTTCCCTCTGAGCTACTTACAATCATTTAGTAGGTTAAGCGAATTTCGGGATTGTTCAGTTAAAAAACTCACCCTATTAGACTTGATGAAAAGAGAATGATCTCTGAATTTTCCTATACTAATTTACAAACAGTAGAGAGTCTGTGCCTTAATCATGATCAAATGTGTAGCAAGGAGAAGGGATTCGGCTAATCTTTCCTCTTGCGTTTGCTGCTTGTACAAAGGTGTCGCATCAGAGTGTCAACATGGATAGGCCGGCGATACCAATATTGCCCTTCACAGCACTAGCGATTCATTCATATCTGTCTGAAGCGGCTGGTCTTTTTGCTAACATTCTGGCTTCACTTTCCACTTCTGCAGGGATGATTTTATCCGAACTATAGTAGTCTTCTCTCCGTATGTTCGGCTGAGACTGCTGCGACTAGTACTGAATAAAAAACGCAAGCTATATATACGAAAAATATGGGACAACCAAATTCAACCATCAAGTGAAAAGTTTTCGCGAGTGGAAACACCAGTGCGAGGTGTCACAAGTGACCCTAAGGATAAGGCACAGTCTCTTGTTTCTTTACGTGATCAGCTGATCATGCAATCAGGGTATAAATTACTTGACAACACTTGTGAAATTAAGGGATGAGTTTAAAATATGTTAGCAGTATTTCAGTATCGCTATTACATGAACGGATAGTCACCATTTTTGCGCAGCACAGTTCGCTGTGATTATTAGCCCAACACTTTGGAATGTGATTTATTATGCAGACGCCTTGAAATAGACAATGCCGATTTCATGCTCGTGTACATTTGCGAATCCGATTATTTCGTCTGGAATTCAGAGGAAAAGGAAGTGGATTGCCATGAGTTTGCGATACATATCCATAAAATCCCGGCACAAAAGGACAGAAACAATGCACTGTGTATGATCTATTGATTTTGGAAAAATTGCGTCTTTGTTTCTGACTATTTGTGGGCGATTGGATTTGTACTATACCCATCCACATAATCCTGGTCGGAACAGTCTTTCCCTGGCCTTGTCCAATTAGTTTGGCGAGTTCCCATTCAGCGCAGTGAAGCACGAATCGAGTTGCGCCCTTCGTAAGTAGTGTATTTAAACCCTCGACCGTGTCGTAGTTTGGAATCCGAATATCCGATATGAGAGAACTGCGTATCGCGCTGCCAATGCACGCTGGCCTCACGTCTCAACGCGTGAACTTGTTCATCCTTGAGTGATGTAATTTGTTTTCCCGACTACAAGTCCTGCAGATGGGTCAGTCGATCGACACAGTCAGAATAGATACTAAATCGTCGTTCAAGCCGTCGGACAGCGTGAACACGTTCAATGTCAAAAACAATGTTTCAGATGTATTCATCATTAGCTGGTGCAATGGTGGCAACACGCTCGCTTAGCATGTCGGATGCCCGGAGTTGATATGCTGATGCGATTAGGGATATGCACTGTAAACGGCCTCTACTAAGAGCGAAACTCGAGTCTACTGCTTCCCAGTTTTGGTGTGGACTGGCTAGATGATAAGAGAGACCTGTTTAGATGGCGGTGATGCAAGTGCCCCTTTTGCAGTTTCTTTAACAAGGACGTAAACTGTTTAGAATAGTGAACATCCAAATGTCTTGAGAAAGTCTGTCTACAAGGTTTATAACTCACGCATGTGCATCACTTTAACCTTCCTTCAGTACGTACGGGGATTGCGAAAATTTGTGTTGGTAACGTCCAAAACAACGGGATACGTGAATGGGTTTTGACGCAGTGTCGATATTTGTGGCTGCATTCTGAGGACTATATAAATTAGTAAGGAAAACGAAGAAGATATACTAAACCCGAAACTATACAGTGCAAACATTTGAATTCGGGAAAGTAGGGATGATTTATTCTGCTCATAAAGTGAAATTCCCTGAGACGATTTCAGACTACCCTAGATAGCGAGTGACACACGGTTCACCACAGCACAATGCGTGTGATAACAAAAGCCCGAGATCGCTCAGTGATTAGCGCCCAGATTAACCGACCGGGAGGTCTATGGTCCGATTTCGTCGTCCCGAATGCTCTTGTTTAGGCTTGGGAAATCGAGCAGAATCACAGCTTTGGTGCTTCTTTCGGGTGGCATAGCACTCATGCGCCGGAAGGGCTTTACAGCTGAACGATTGTTCCTCTTGAATAACTGAATAAATTTTTGACGAATTCGGTCATAACTGAGAGTTATGCTTACTTATTTCTTGGGATATTTTCCTAGAAAACTTCATGGGATATATTTCAGCTCACGGAATATATTTCAGCTTCAGACGATAGACAAAGAATGTCGTAAGTTGGAAGGCAGGGTGTTTAACACTAGAAGAGGACGATAAAACGGATCGCCTTACCCCAAGTTATGTTGAGCATGTACGCACAGTTAAAACAGCTAGTAATCTATTGCAGTAATGTCAGAAAATGTGCAGTAATGCATCAAAAGCTGTGTCCGATAGCAGTTTATTACAAGTCCGTGTGCTGCTCACTACTGTTTTCAAAACTGAACTGATTAAGTGCTTACTAAATCTCCAGGTGATTTGAATGGTTAGTTTGGATGCACTTCACTAAAGATGAGTACTCGTTGGACATCCGGTGAAATGTGAGGAGTGGTTTTTCGCAAGGCATGTAAGGTTTTAAAAACAAAAGGGAAGGTTTTTAGGAATTAGTCTAAAAATACATTGAAATTTCCCTCATGCTTTTATCCATCTCTGCTTGTACTCTAGTTGAAGCAAGTTGAAGAGTATATGGCTTATAAAAAATACCCTCCGAGTCTTCGACAGCGGATTACCGGCTACTTCGAGCATCGATACAAAGGCAAAATGTTCAACGAGAAAGAAATTTTGAATGAACTCTCTGAGTGCCTTCGTGAAGTAAGTGTAAAAATTTCTCCAAAAACATTCAGAAACGACTGATTTAATAGTATCCCATTTCATAGGTTGTTTTGACTCTTGTTTTGCCTTATCATTCCTAGTAAAAGGCAACTACCCTCCACTGTGAATGAGAGATAGACTACTGGTTTACGCCAAAAATGTATCAACTCCATTTCAACGAAAAGTGGTAAATGGATGAAACTTCCTATACAGCGCGCACGCGTAGAGAAGCTAGGCAGGTGCAGCATGCAGCTTCCGTTTTACTTGTTGCTGTAATGTAGGCTTCAGCCGTTTTCATTTACAGTGAATTTTAAGCTTGTTAGAATCAACATCAAATAAGGAATGTCTGTTTTTGTTGGGGGCTAACTGGGTCCGGCTTGTTGTCTGTGGTCGCAGTGACATTGTGTTAAATGATTTTGAAGGTTCATCGAAATTTGGAAACTAAGGCTACATGCTGAGCCCTGCGAATTATGGAACCTGTCGTGTTCTGTTTTTTAATTAATCTTGTGAGTAGTATTTGGAGTTAATGAAGCCAGGCGTAAAATACAGGGTTTTGTGTGAAAATCCGCAAAAATCTACAGGCTGAAGTTCACCCTAGATTAATCCACCCTGAATTTGTCAATTTGAAGGCCATTTACTGCGCCATCTCTCACTATCTTTCTGAAAGTTCGACAACTTGCTGGTCAACCAAACGATACTATCAGGATTTGACTGTTGGGTTCATCAGTCAAGCTTGATGAGCACGATACCTAATGTGTACCTCAGTGAGGTCGAACTAACTGCCGTTCAAAATTGCCTCTACAATAATCAAACAGGAGCATGTTGGGGCACGCCATCTTAATGTTTAACAATCTTGTAAGGATCTATTTGAGGTGAAATCTCAAACAGGCCTGTGATAGCTATTTGCTATTCCGAATCAGCCTAACACTCTAGGACTGGATGTCACTAGGAAAAAACGGGCCCACCGTAGAACATTTGATAGACCACACGTGCAACATGCTTTTTTATCTCCAGAAGTTGGATTCATATTACCCTTTCGCTTTATCAAGAAAAGTTGCTTCAAGCGACCCACAACTACTTCTGCCACTTAACACCTCACATAACTGTTTGCAGTCAGTAGACAATGGATTTCTCTACGCTCGCTTGATATCGGTATATGGGCACAACTGGAAAATTCGACTGGTTTTAGTTTAACCAGGCTAGTCATCACCTGCTCACCAGTTTGTCAGAAACGGCCACCCGTTATTCAGGAGAATGGAAGCGACGTAATATTTCATGAAAACAATCTTTGTAGTGTAAAAGTCACGCTTACTTTATTAGCCCTCACCAAGAAGAAACTGATCGTCGGATTTTCCATCTTACCTTATTGCCTCTATAAAATGTAAGCAGTTTGTTCCCGGATTTCACGACTATTGTTGTATTGCAGCCCAACCTAGATAGAAGTACAGTGGTTGCAAACACCTGAGGTAGTTAGAATGAAATACTTTGACCATGTCATTTAAGACGGGCAACACTCCACAGTGATTGGTTTGAGTTGGCCCCGGCATAATCCAACTTTGGCATACAACTGAAAGCGAAAACCATGACAACAGTAGAATGACAGGGTCATCAGTTCCATAATAGGATTGTAGTCTGTTTCATGGAAATTTTTGTAAAATTTGTTTGGTGACTTTGGGACGTTGGGTCAATCTGATCTGCTCTTTAAGAGCAGTCAAGTCGGACTGTATGAATCAGCTAACGTGAACGCCTCCAATGATCCTCAAAATCATCGATTTTGTTGTTCGATTTCTTACCATTGGTCATATTGCTGTTACTGATTACACTAATGAAACAATACATAATAAATTAATTGCCGCAGTATTAAGTGTGACCCAGAATTTTAGTCTGCCGTCCTGGTGCAGATTTTGCTGCACCAACTTGAAAGACGCCGAGCATCATAATGAAAGTTAGTCTGTAACGAAAGATAGTTCATAAATTCACTTCACCAAATTACTTTTAAAAGTAAACTGAATTTCTGTGTCTGTCGGTGCAATAAATCAACTTTAGTAGAAATCTTGTAGGCTCTGTCAGAGAGTCTACAGAGCGCATATATGCTTTCATCGTTTGTCATCTATTTTTTTAAATGACCGGCCTGTTCTTTTGAAAATAATGTATCTGCTAACTGTGGGAAGTATTTTGCTGCAATGTTGACTGACTGTGATTTGTCCTTCCGTCCTTTATTTTTAGCAAATTCTAAACTACAACTGCCGAGCGCTGGTTGCCACGGTGCCTATCTTTGCCAACGCGGACCAGAACTTTGTATCAGAGGTTGTTGTGAGACTGAAGCAAGAACTTTTCCAGCCGGGTGATTTGATCATCAAGGAAGGAACTTGTGGAAATAAAATGTATTTTATCCAGGAAGGTGTGGTGAATATCATCACAAAATCGGGGACAATCGTCACGCGACTAACAGATGGGTGTTACTTTGGTGGTAAGCCTGGCCAACAATTACTGTATATTTAGTACGGATTGATTAAGTGCTCACTGGACTGTGATAAAGGTCTGGATTTTAGTATGCAGAAAAATCTACAAAACGATTTTCTAAATGGATGACACCATGAAAAACGCTAATTTAACGTTCCATCACAAATTATGACGGGCCCAAATGAAATTCCGGCTCAGTTTGTATCACTAGAAGTAGACGAGATTTTATTGAGTGCTGCTGTTAACTGGAATCATGAAATTATGGGTCCATAGTTGTTGACCATTGCAACTGTTTGAAAATGTGTTAGTGATTGGTTAGGCTTGCGCAGACACCGGCGGGTGCCTGTTGGAACAAAAGGTTGACCTTCGAGTCTTTACTTTTGTTTGGTTCCCGCGATAGCACTTCGGGCGAACAATGAAGGCGAGCTCGGTAGAGGCGCTTGAGAGGATAATAACTTCAGCAGAATGCGCAGAAAGCGCTTATTATTAACAATAAAACAAAATAATAAAATATCTGCATCCCCAAACGGACGATTTCTACTTCCGGTTCCATCAGTCCAGGCTTTTAGTTTTCCGGGTATAATGCGACAGATATTGGTGCACAAAGCATTGATAATAATAATAATAATAGTACTCGTTCAGCATAAACGCTTTTCTGATGCGTAGCTGACATGTCAACCACAGGAAGTACGAGGGCTGTGATTCTGCCAGGTTGCCTAAGCCTAGACAAGAGCAGAAAATATGTTGGGGTGGGATCGGTCAGTAAGTCCCGTTCACTCCTTAAGTACTGAGCTGATCACTAAGTAATTTGTTGCCCTTGTATGATTCGAATCTGTCAATGTTCAAGGCCATCGTCATGTTGTTATCTGCAGTTTCCCATAACTAATTAGTTCTGTTGAGTTCGGTAATGTATGAATCACTGATGCCAACAAAACTTCACAAATAAATCAGGAACGCAGATTGCACTAGGTTGAGGATTTTTCCGCTTTGTGCTATTTGTTATTAAGTACTGATGCAAGTTGGTTTTATAATGTAAATTGATTAGTTGCGCTGTGATATGTTCGTTTCTTTCTGTCTCCTTTCTCTCCCGCAGAAATATGTCTTTTGACAAACGCTAGACGCGTGGCTACAGTTCAGGCCGACACCTATTGTACTCTGTATTCATTGGAACAAAAGCATTTCTATGAAGTCCTTGAAAACTTTCCTTCCATGCGACAAACGATGGAAAAGGTCGCAGCCGAAAGGCTACAGAATATTGGACAGAGACCCTCGATATTAAGGCATTCAAGGTCAGACGAGCCGTCAACCGATGCAGACCGAATCGCGAATCAGGTGAGTGCAAATTTCTATTTTATTGATGTCAGCCTCATGACGTAGATAAGACAGCCGAATTGTGATGAGCGATGCCCAATCGAAACGCTCATGCGCGACCGTATATTTACAACTTAGAAAGGGTGACCATGGATAGAAAGAACATGGCATGTAATTATTCAACACGAAAAAACAAGAGAACTGGATTAAATAACCCATACTCTGCATAGGCATTTATGAGAGGGACGAAAACAGATAACACTGATTAAACCTTGATATTTAGAGATCATATTCGCCAGTTTTTTTCAAGTGCACAGAACTGTAACGGATATCTGCCAGCCTGAATAAACTACTCAACTTTATTTGCCCACAGAAAACAGTGGCCATCACCTCATCTTCTTAAATCAGACAACAGCTGGACCATAGATTTAAAAGCTCAACACGGTATCATATGTTTGCGTAGCTGAACCCAAAGGAATTGTAGTTAGGATGTTACTACCATGAAGCTGAGTAGTTTTACAATCAAATTTAAACATTTCCGGACGTTCTGTTCTATTCCAACAGATTTTGAAACATGAAGTAAGTATTCTTTGTCCTTTATTCCATTTGTATTGAAATGAAGAAGAGCAAAACACAAGAATGAGCATTTTTGAAAGGTAACCAAGCTAACCACTGTTTGAGGCGGCATGCAGGACCCAGTGCATTGAAATACAATTTAGGTGATTACCCTAGAAGCATGGTGTTAGCCAACTGCTCAGCGGAATTTCCAGTTATTTGCGTCATCAATATGGAGAGCTGGAGGGTGCTACTGTATGCAGTTTGATGACGGTATGATACCACTGTTTTGCATGCTTTGACCTGTTTATGGGTCATCTAACCAAACTGAACTAAAGTCTGATTGTCATTTGGTAAACCCTTTGAATGGTATCTTTTAGGAAAAGACACTTACAGCATGAATGAGAGATATGATCCAATCGAAATCGTTTGCGAAAGATATTTGCATGTTGAGTTATCGTTTTGATTGCAACATGTTTCTAAATGAAGACGGAGTGAAGTAAACTCACAAGATGTGGAACACCTATGGCCTCTTTCAAAAATACCTTTGTTTTTTCGCTGAAATATACCATTTATTTACAAGGTTTTTCCTCAATAACGGAGTCAACGTCATCAGTGCTTCGGAGGCTGCGTACATTACCTTAATTGCCACCATCCCTTCAGTAAGATAGTTGTAATTATCGTAGTTATCCATTGTTGGGCCATATTTAAATATAAGACGGTTATCTTTACTCGCATTCCTGAGTAGAATTCATACAGGTGAAAGGCAGAGTGCTCTCTAGTACAGACTGGTTTACTGTGCTTAGCGGCTACAAGCTATTTGACACAAAATCAGAAAGGCCATTTGTAAGGAATTTCCGGAAATTGAACATACTCAAGCGTCCTCTTGAACTTTCCTGGACGTTTTTTTGTGCTTAGCGGCTACAAGCTATTTGACACAAAATCAGAAAGGCCATTTGTAAGGAATTTCCGGAAATTGAACATACTCAAGCGTCCTCTTGAACTTTCCTGGACGTTTTTTTTAATATTGAGCAAAGACAAACAAAACATTGAAACTTGGTTCAATAGCTTCCTTAGCAAACTTCCATAAAATGCAGGAGAGAAGAGTAAAAACCAATCACAGTCCAAAAGTGAAGAAACGTCCCTGAAATTAGGATGCGATGTAAACTGCAGTCAAAAGTACCTTAGCTACATTTAAAACTGAGTCGGAGTGGAGCGCCTAGAAACAGTCTATATAAGTTATCATGTAGTGCCCGAACCAACATGCACACGGCTTCAAGAGTCATTACAGCATTCAGGAAATTTGACGTCCTTTTCGTTGGTGTTCATAAAATGAGTAAGAAATTGATCAAAACAAATACATGAAAATTCCGCACTTATCTCTGTCAAAAGTGGACTACCCGGTCAGCTTCATCAGGAGCATGTGGATTCAATGACCTTTATGGGCCATAAAAAGGGCGGTTCACTTTCCTTTGGTGTCTTTCTGGTGTCTTGTTCGGAATAGTCGCTTGAGACGGATAGTTCGATGCGTGGTTTTCATAAAAGATTTGCATCCCTGCTGTTTGGCGCATATGCTGATTCAAACAGCACGAATGCCGTCCTTCATGTTTTCGTTTCATTAAACCCTTGTACGGACCATCTGCCACAATATTTCACATTTAGTTTGTTGCCCAAAGACCCCTTAGACGGTTTCAAAGCAAAACAAGTTTAGAACAGACCAGTTAGGGGACACAGCGCTGCATGCACTGCGAGATGTTTTGTTCCATATGCATATCCTCAGTTTTTGAAAGTGGTCCAATACTGTTGATGCAGTTCGTTTTTAATACATTTCATGAACGCAATATTAGTGAAATTTCTCAAATACCTATGCTGATCACGTTTCACGTAACAGTCAACTTCCAAGCCATATGCTTAAATATTTAACCGATATACATGAAATAAACACAGTTGAATCTCAAAAAGTCAATCCAAACAGGGATTCCGCCTTTACAAACAGCTTGAATGCACATAAAATGGTCTCACACAAATATGACCCCCCGCTGAATGGAAGATTGCAACAGAGCGTCAGGTGAGCAATTCAAAACACTCAGGTGATTCTAAAGTTGCCCACGATAGCCGAGCACATCTGTATTGAGCATACGGTACCCGAAAGGAATCAGTGTAAATGAATGCATAAGATAGCTCTTATGCAAAAGAACGTGTCTTCTAAAGGGATAGTCGTTGATTTATTGGAACCACTGAATATTCGCTGATGCGTATTTGGTTACTGAGGTGTTTGTTCTGTTTTAGCGAAAAGGTAGGAGAAAAAATAATTTCACTTGGATGAAACTGGAGGGACAGGGCACACGTGGATCAGCTAATGAAGATGTGGCCTCATCAGGTGAATCAACAGACAACGGCGACAGTCAAGCCGTGAAAGATCCAAAGCAGTCCATCTCTCCCGGTGTTTGTGCACAACAAAACACAAATGATATGCTCAAAACGATCAGTGAATTGCAGGGGAGCAGTACTTCACCGAGTCACAAAAACAGCTGCTTTAATGCGGATACGAGTACAGCAACAAATTTCGAGACGTCTCGAGTTTGATCCACTTCTTTCACGCGAGTCACGTGAACAGTCATTTGGGTAACTTGTGCCTGAAGAATCTCATCCTCACCAATTGTGCACTCTAATCCAGACAATTTTCTATACACCACAGTAACCTGCTCCATTTTTCTAACCCCGTTGGAGGTAAACCTTAGTTCCCATTCATCAGTTTCCGAGCACTTAAGAAGATTCATGCTATTGTATACTATTTCGCTCAATGCCCAACAGTAATGTCGTGATCAGGACAACTGGTCAAACCCTACATATGTAGAAATGTCAATCAGAGTCAAAACGCAAAGTTTGGCCAATTTCTCAAATATTTGTTTTTTATCCTCAGATCAGAAAAGTTGAAATTTATAAAAAAAAATCTCTTATGGCTTTGTCGCACATAGTATGGTGGGTAAAGAGCTCTAGTGGACGATGCTAATGGAAACAGATAACCAGTAATCTCGCGTTCTGACATCTGACACTGGTGGAGCCCTTTATGAGTTTCTGTAATAGACTTACCTCACTGAAAACTGTTCCACCTCCCACGGCTGGTTTTGTCATTCTTGAGGTTCATCAGAACATCACTGAAGAAATTTAACAAACGAACTTTTCACCTGGTATTCAGGTGAGTCAGCCGTCAAAACCGAATTGGTATACAGATGAGTGCAACAGTTGAAGCAGAGAATGTGCTGCAGAAAAGTGAATGCTGAGAGTAGCCAAACTTTCCACATTTCTAGCCCGAGTTATGGGGTTGATTAGAGTGAGAACAACTGTCCTTGGGTTCTTTGGCTTTCACAAACAGTTAAGTGCCAGCATTCAATGGTATATCGGAAATATATTCATAAGGAGTGAAAGCTAAAGCATCCTGAATTATTGTTCAGTGAACAATGGTAAGCACAAACAGGCTAAGTACGCTGTTACTGTTGGATGATAGAGGCTGTGACAAACGTTTGGAAAGACAAAATGGATGCGCAATCTTCAAGTGTCTTACGGCTTTTGAACCGTGCATGAAAGCACCATTCACACGTTTCAAGGCTGGGTGTGTGGCTCGGAACTAGGAGGGAATTCTTTTTATCAGTCGACGGCTACAAAAACCGGAACAAGCAACAAAGACCATGGACTTGCCAAAATAAGATCTGTAGTATTAACCACATTGTGTTGGAAAGAAAAATGACCTAAATTGGCTCAGTTCAGGTAAAGCGCGTAGATGTGAAACTTTTGGAAATCCCAATAGCTGCAGAGACCAATCACAAGCGCTCCAAAGAGTAATCCACCAATGAAAAACAAAACAATAGAACGAAACCCTAGTTCAGTGTCTCTCCCGTTTGGTATGGACATTCGAGGATAACTGGGCCAGCATAAGAGAAGAACTCTTCAAACGAGTGGTGTGGGTGTGTGTTTTACGAATCCCACAACCATACAATAATATAGTTACACTCAACTAGAACCTGAAGAACTAAAGGTCACTGAAAGACTACGGTTTATCCGTTTGATTCCTTCGCCCGTTATAGTGGTACTCTCACAATTCATTGTTGTAAACCCTGAACATAGGATCTCCGCATTGCTGCCTGCTCTGTCACAATACTGTCCGTAACTACCATCCGTCATCAATATCTCATCCATTGTGCCACACAGATCAAATGATGGTGGTCGCGTCGCAGGAAAATGGTGTGCACTGTTGACCATCTTGAATTTGTTCATCAGACAAGCGACTGTCATTAGGCACCGGGACATCAGCTTGAGGATAGCCATCATTTTGCAGTAACCACCATATCCTGTCCATGTGAAGAGGATACACACAGCTGCTCCCCACACATGTTTCGAGATCCCAGCGTACTTTTCTTTGCAAACCCAAGTACAATCTGTACAAAGTGTTTAGCTAAGCATAGTGATGGTGAATGATTTAGAAATCAAGAGGACAATAAAGGTAGCGAACAAAGCTTGTTTTCTTTGATTGTTCCTCTTCGCTAATACATCACAACTTTTTTATGCTATCAGAAATCTCTAGACTCTAGACTCTAGCCCGCTGAGTACTCTGGGACCATGCTGTTTTCGCTGCAACTGCAATGATTCCTGGTGTTTACCTTTCCGTATTAATTTTGCGATTAACCAATGGCGACGAAGTTAATAAAGGATGTCCCTTCTACTTTCTAGAACTCAACGAGCGAAAGACTGAGTGTAAGTCCCGAAAGTCAGTTGAACTTCGTCCAATCAAAGCACGAGCGTACAATCTAATCAGTGGGGCGGCTCACTAGAACACCCTGTCAGAATGTAGGCAGATATATATATGCCTACATACAGCAATACCTAAGGCACATCCACAGACTCGAACCTGGCTTCACCCCACAACAATGCACAGATGATGTCATCCGGATTGTTGACGAAAGGTCTGCGACAAAAATGCCGAACACAGGGTGGTTTTTGACTACAACTGAACAGCCTGAGCTATTTTTTCCATATGAAAATGTTCACAGTGTGGCACACAATTTAAATTGGGTTCTACTTCTATCCAAACCTAATTGAACATTTTTGACGAGGTATCAAAAATGACTGATCCTCTAAAAAGAGTAAGAGAAAAACCGTTTTTCTTTGAAATTTTTTATTCATACTCTGAACCGTTAGTGCATTTGCTGTCTCCCTTCTGGAACAGGGAAGACTGTAACAGAATGGCAGCTGAATAGAACAGTAGGAGTCAGTTTCCTGTCAGCAGTTACTCAGATTCCAATGGTTTTTCCTGGCATTAGTTCCACTGTTAATTGATACCGCAACACCCGAAAATAGTGATCAATGCCAGTTCACTTGCTAAAGTCGTAGCACATATGGAGAGCACATATGACCATTGAACAAAGGCTTTTATCACGTAGATTATCAAACCAATAATAAGACAGCAGGCACCACCAATGAGGAAAATTGCTCGAACCAGAGCCAAGCCAGAAGCTCTTTTGGTACACATAACAACAAGATCAAGGATGAGTACAACCGCAAGACACACCAAGCCCGCACACACAAATACGCCGACTGCGTTGAAAGAATTTGACGAACTACACCAGTAACTAAACATTCGGCCACATCCCCATTCCGGAATGCAGAGAGCAATGATAAGAAGGACAATAGCCACCACCAGCTTGATTAGCAAGACAATACTTCCATGCATTTTCATGAGTAGATGCAATGGTTACAGTCAAACATAATCTAACACATCGACCGCAGTATTTTGAATAGAGTGGTCACGTGTTTCATAAGATCGGTATCGTCTATTTAACACAAGAAAGATTGTGAAGTCACATTAGTGGGATGTAACTGCTTGTCCTGAAGCGAATGGAAGAAACCAATCCAAAGCTGAATGCAGTGTATTTGTAAAAAAAATTATTTTCAAAACATCGTATTTCTTTCACAATGTCCGTGGGTTTCCACAGCAAATATTCTCCACTTCAGACCAACCCCCAATTTCAAGCGTTAGATCCTTAAACCGACATCGCTCAGCGTTCGAATCTGGCCTTCGCCTTGATGAGTGAAAAACAGTTCCAGCACAGTTCTTTCCATTGACCATGCTTTGGCCCATTCGGGGTTTTCATGTCTTCCAAATGAGAGAGCACACCAAACACTCAGTGTTTGCAGTGACTGACAACGACATTACTGAATGGTTTGTGTTAGTGTAAATTTGGATCACTCACTCAGTTACTTTATTGTTCCGTCTTACGAGTGTCAGGTCTTCAGTCTGAAATGCTTAAACGAGTTGAAGATGAGCGAAGTCATTCAATGTTTTCATGCACGCCAGACATCACTTGATAATGAACAGAGTGGAAGGCTGCGGATATCCAAGGGATGAGCGATCAACCCCTTGAGACATCCTGAAATACCAAGTGGATATATTTCCTATTTTGTCTTTCATTCAATCGATTGGCATCGAAGAAACAAGCCGTCACCGTAGGTGATTCTAATTTATTCGTGCGGTATCCTTGACGCCTTCCCCGATATAACAGAGGGGCAACACGGATGGGCTGTGTTGGAATTCTGATGAGATTGGTTGTTGATCAGGTGGTTGTTGATCTGTTCACCGAGCTTGGCAATTGACTTGCAGACGTTCTGTCACCATACAAGGAGATACCATCAGTGTGCAGTCGGGTGCAAGTCAATTGCCAAGCTTAGCGAACAGATCAACAACCGCCTGATCAACAGCCAATAAACTCACACGAGCTACCAATATTTCGATACATTACCAATTCTGACAAGAGTGATAACGCCCGTCGTGGTGGCAGAAACACCAGAAATTTTGAGCTATGAGGAATTCGACACATACCGCCATACGGCCACAGGGAGTTCCTGCGGCAAATACCCGGATGGCAAACTAATTAAGTCTGATACCCATTTGAAGGGCGCTAGCAGCCATATGCGTCCTACAGTGAATAACTGCAAAAATCCTAGGGTAGCAGTCTCGTTCTCAAGCAGGCCGGCTTCTCAACTCACTGGTGACACAGTGGGTGTTTTCGAATGCCAATGAGGAAAGTGTTGCTTTAGTCTTCACTCGATTCGGCTGATCCACACCAGGTAGTAGGAATAATCCATCAGAGTACTGTGAGATTCAGTAAAACCGTTTAGGGTTTCTTAATTTACTAACCGTGAAAAGGGCTATCTGAGGTCATCAAACAATGAAAAGAAATGGGAATTACTTCCTGCGCGTGATCATTTATCGATGAAAGTTAATATTTCCGTTACTCTCCTCAGTCATGGGAGGTAGAACATGCAGATTCCACAAGGTGTTAGCACCAAATACAACAAACAGACAGCCGACAATTTAACTAAGGCCATTCAATTAAAAAGTGGAAGGTGCTTTGCCCCAAAACCTTATCAGTATACGGCTTTGGTTGACGAATGCAGATGAGTAAGGCCTAGCAGATCAACAGCAGTTTGGAGTTCCAGTGGTATGCTCTTAAAAGAAATGAACTTTTCCGAGCTATTTGGTGCTTGAAGATTGAAGACGCCGGGTCAGGATTCATCTTTTTGGGATCAAGTTGTGCGTCCAGTGATGCGCTCGGATAGACGCCAGTAATGATCAAACTGTTTTTGTGGGAAAACGGTGAGAAGCTAGAGAATTGTGAATTTCGAACAGCTCACGTAGACTTGATGAAAACTGGCCTACTTGCGAGTAACCTACAAATGACAAACGGGATACATTCTCGCATCAAGACGACAGTTTCAGTTTTGGATGAACGTAGAGACCATTGAAATCTTAGCTTAATAACTTTAATAATGTTCGCCAACTGTATTAGCTGCAGCGGGCCGCCATTATAAACGAGAAGTTTAGCTGGCTTTCAGGCCTTGAAGACCAAAATAGTATGCAATGTCTAATTTCGTGCTCCTTGAATTCGGGTAGAACACGAGGTTAGAAGAAACTCTGAACTGTGTCTACCTGATGAATCCCAAAATGGGCAAAACCGTTCGCAGGCTGTTGAAGAGGATCAAACAAACTGATGAGTAGGGTGATCAAACATGACTCAAAAGATAAGCAAGCCAACCAATATCCTAAGGCAGGCAGAACAGACTGGAGTGTAGCGTCCTCTTTGTGAATCTTGGACACCCCTCCCTTCTAGTAAGTGACCGTGCCAAGCAACTTCACGTGTTAACCATGGTGCTTTCTAGCTTGAAGTATTCACTCAACTGACCTACCTAAAAAACAGATTTTTTTCCACCTAAGACTTATTCCAATCAAGCAGATTACTGTCCATTTTTTCGGCGTGTTTTTCTTTTATTGCGAGCACTATGCCGGAACTCCTGACGGCCTTGAGGTCTAGTTCATACCTTTTTGCCTTCACAGTTGTGATCTGCGTTCAGGTGGCACCGGCATTCCAACGTTGCAGACAGCTGTCGCTGGGGAGTACAAACGTGTTCCGCCACGAATTGACCTGCCCAGTCGATACAAATTGAATTGTATAACGTGGTTATGCATCTTTGTTGGAGAGGGATCACTAGTGACTGTCTGTTCGCCTCATCTTGGCCTTTTTATACATAACCATAATTTTTGGACACTTCGATGAAAAGTTCATCCTTATAATGTATGAATCTAGACGGAAATAAACAAACGTTGAATATGCTCTCATCCAATTCCAAAGCAGCACAAGTGCTGACACGCCTCCTTGGAGTGACCGCCTTGGTGACCACATGTCGGAGAGTTACATCATCTACCCAGGTCGGCCGGAACAGATCATTCACCGTTTGGAAGTCACCTGCAACAAATATAATACGGCTGCGCGTCAGCCTACTGCGCAGTGGAAAAATCATGTGAAACAGGGCGGTGCGGTTATGCCCACACGTCTAAATCACGTCCGATTTCGTCATGTGCCGGAGAAAGGTCAAAAAGGGACACATGAAGTTCACGCCCACCCAAGGCACCCGTACACAAGCACACAGACAGCCATCTATGACTAACTGAGACAAAGGAACAACCACCCGAGAACCGGTGTGGGCGTGCAGGAAACACTAGTTGGTTGGGGGTAGATCGACCATCAAATACGGTCACAAGTGAATCATATATATATATGAAAACTGACTCCTCCCTCATTAACCTGTGATTGAGATACATACTGCTTTTTTTGTGGAAGTACACATTTGGAAGGGTTGTTTGTTATCAGGCTGGATCCATTATGTTCGGTAACAACGCCTACCGGTGCCGTAATGGTATGTGGGCACATGAACATTTTGGCGGTTTATCAGGTGGACATTGATCTGATCGTCGAGTTTAGGAACTCCCTTGCAAAAATTTCGTCCTCAGTCGAGGAAACATCAGTCTGCAAATATCAAGTGCGCACTGATGATGATAAAGGGGGAACGGTATAGTCTTTCCATGTGCACAACCACTAGCCCACCGCTACGCCCCCCAATAACGCACTGATGATTGTTAGCCCAAAATTTTGGTTCATTTAGACTTAACATGTATTCTGGTACCAAGCAGATTTTATGTATTGAGTTTTACGACTGCAGTTGGTCGAAACACTCCTGCTTCCAAATTCTGTATACCAGGCTGATATGTCCGAGTTTATCTTTCTTCAGCTTTTACCTGCTTTTTGGTACGCATCACCCTACCCCGACTAAGAAGTGTGGACTGAACCAGGAAGAGATAAAGGTACCCAAATGGGAAGGTAAAAATTAAGTTCACCCCTGCCGAGGATGTGCATATTGATGCTCAAACGGCGATCGGTAAAGCTTAGATCAGTGAGTTCCAGCATCATATGCCTGGCATCTATAGACCCCTTCTAACTGGCAGTTATTTGCTTTGATCGCCGGAAATTAGATAGGCGTGCCACACTCATTGACTGGTTTGACGAACGTGATAAAAAGCCGCGCCATCGATCTAGAGTCAAGGGGCCCAAAGCCTACGGTAGAATGTTTGGAGATCAAGCCTTCTAACCAAGGTCTTTTGAGGACTGATTTGACTGAATTTAGTGGCACCAACTATGAGTATGCAATACCCTGAATTCTTCACTCATTTGGCGGACAGTGTCGAAATCAATTGGTAGGACAACAGCACCATCTGAACCTCGCATTTTCAGTTCAACAGCAAAAGCTGGATCGAGACGAGTTTTCAGTCTATTGGTATGGGTGTTGGAAGGTACTGCAACCAGCACTGTTCACGTTAAACCTAGATGAAGAGGAACGGAGTTTCGTTGATTCTCAGATGTTTCATTGTTGCGGGAAGCTGTTCACCCATATTACTAAGAGGAATTCATCAGACAACCCGATCAATATGTCACGTCTCACTCGGTCAGATGCTTTATTACAACTTGCGATTGCTGAGTTAGCAGGAAGATTCACGTCCATCAAGCGCACCATGTTAAGATATAGGGCGGTTGTTGGTGCATGGACGGATTCGCGTGAACTCAACTTCGGTTCCCATGGGAATTCGAGTTTGATATCAAATCAGCAGCAGCACGCCGTCTACAGGGATACAACAGTAAAAAGAATCGTTGGAAACCAGTTCGGTGGAAATTAACATAACACCGCCAAGCGAAGAAACGGATCAATTTTTCGAACGCGTCAACGAGAAATTCGAACATCAACTTATGAATATGTGGACAAAATACGCCCACGGATGTTCAAGCAACAAGGCGCAAGCAGCATAACAATTAGTGGCCCATCAATGTAGTTATCTCTCTATGTGCGGCGAACGTTACGATCATACAAGAGATTACGATGTCCCGGGGTGAATTTGCATTGGGTGAGATGGCTCCGGAAGTGGAGGGCGATTTTACTAACCGCAAGGTCTTGGTTCAGACCCGACCTCTGTATCTCGAATTCCCCTGTCTAGGCTTGAGCAAACTGGCAGCTTCCCATCCCTGGCGCTTCCTTCGGGTGGTATGGCATTAGGACACTGAAACGGCGTTATAGTTGAACGGCTTTTTATCAGGATAAATACTCAAAGGAAACTTTCCTTTGAGGAGACATTTCAGGAGCACAGGCTGGACACATCAGGTTGCAAAACCCCCGTACATTCTACCAGTAAATTGGATCTCCTATGCTCTACCAACTCGAAATGGTATATACGACGCCAAGTCAGGTAAGTCAAAACCGCTGAACCAAATGAGCCCAAACTGCGCTCTTAAGTACAACCCTTTTCCCTGAAAAACCAGACAAAATAATCCGTATTGTTTCAATCACATGAGACCATCTATGCTTGTAAGAAATAAGAGAGAATCATCAAATAGGACAGACAAAGAGGGAATGAATCAATGAGAGGGATTGTGAACAACGACTGGGGTGAACAATAACAATGACTTCGCTCCTATCAGAAAGAAGTTTGGCAATGAGACAAACATGGTGTGTATCGAACAACTCACAGAGCGCGGGGAATAATGTACACAGGAAGCGTGGTACTGGGAAGGATCTGGGATGGACAAAAGCACGTCCGTATACAGTTGAAAAGGGGTGGTCAAAGTATTAGGGCTTACAGAAGTCAGGTTTGGGTCATCTCGAATAAATAGCCCATCTAGCTTTCTCCGGTAATCTTGCTAGGTTCGTTTCAATATGACTTTACTTAAGTGACTTGGGACTGAATCGAACTTCCAGACTGATCAGTGGATCCCTGCTGCTGACTGTGCTGACCACTTTCATCAGACCCAGAAGGAACCGTAGTCGTGACGATCACTGAAGAAGGATCACTTCCATTCTGAAGTTTTGGTGCCACTTTTCGGCGTTTCTTCCGCCTTTTAACGCTTTGGTCGGAGACGTCGGGCAGTTCCGAGTTTGGCATGTTGGGACTGGAATCCGGAACAGTCACCACCACAAAACGCCCACTACTGGGACCGGTTTGGAAGCTGGTGGTGTACGGGATTTCGGGTTCCTGGACATCATCGTCATCATACTCATCCTCCTCTTCCTCCGCAACTGGTTCCAATCCGGAGTCCTCTTGAACTCCTAATACCTGAAGGATCAGTATATTAAGGTTATATAAAGGTCCAAAGGTGAACAAAATAAAATCTTTCTGTTGGAGGAACTCAGCCAAGACAAACGTTGAGTGAAAGAGACCTGATAATGCATTCGGATACAGACGGAGCCTTCGGTTGGTCGAAAATCGACATGACAAATACAGTGGTATCCAATGTGAATGTTATTTAAACTGGGAAAAGTTTGGTGTGGTGGAAGCGTTGAGTGGTTCCAGGAACGCAAAACAGCCTCCCTAAATGAAAATAACTGTCTCGATTCAGTAGGGACCTATTTCAACCAAATAGTTTTCAAGTGTTACTCTCCAGTATTCCGTTACTGCACTGCACTTACAACATCGATGGAGTTTCACATCTTGGAGGAAAAGACTTCTGGATCAGGTTCAACTCAGCGAGAAATTGGACAATTTGAGAGAAGTGAGGAATTTTATTTTAAAAAATCTATGACTTGTATCTTTTTTGATACCAATGGGAAGGCTTTATTGCAGAGACTGACTTAATCGTCACATAACTGTAGAATCGAGCGATTAGTTCAGAACATGCCAGTAACTGATGCTAGACAAATAAACTACTAAGTTTAAATAATGCCCAAGACATACTTCGACAGCAGTTGCAGTCTGGGATGACAAAGTTCCTGGAGTTGCGCATGGGGTACCCGTGACGACAGGGACAGTGACACCGGCAGAAGGAATGACTAGAGCACACGGAAGTATGGATGCTGGGAGACCATCAAACATGGAAATATCGTCAGTATTGGTGGCTGGTACCGTAGGCAGAACTACATCGGCAACGGCTTGAGTAGGCGTCGTCACGACAGGAATATCTTCGTTAATAGTGGCCAAAATACACGGAGGACCACTTAACTCGACCAAATTCTGGGCTGCGCCGGTGGCAGAGGCAGCCGCCATCACACTGGAACCAACCGCGGGGGGTTGCCCCACAACTGTAGCGGCCAGAGGGACACCAGTAGCTGGTTCTGCGTTGGTGTTATTCGCAAACGGCTTTTGTTCTACCAGTTCACCAACCCTTGGAATAAAGTTATCGGAAATGCTTGCAGCAAAATTAATCACACCTGTTTGTTCTGGTAGTCCAATGAGGAACTCCACATCACCCACTTGAGCGGAAACGGTCCCGGCGGTGTCTGGAACGGATCGGGGACCAGTAATCAGTTCAAAAGGCGGATCAGCAGTGCTGGATGGATGAGATACCACGGTAATCGGACGACTCGATTCCGTTCGAGAAAGCCAACGTAATGGACAGCCGAGGAGACAGGATAAAAACAGGCAGACTCCGGAGAAATAAAAGCCCATTGAAGCCGCATTGTGTACAGGAGCCAGATGGGCTGTGAGAATGTCATGTGGGGCATACTGATCGAGCTGTAAGTCCCGCAAAATTCCTGGAATGCCAGAATGAGGGATGAGAGTGGGGCAGTGGAAGATGAAAACCAAAGACTACAAGATGATTGACCACATCAAACGCATAAAAATTTTCCTTGTTGCCCTGTTTTAATAAATGTGACCTCCAGAAATAGGTATGATGAAGTCCTCTTATTTTCGTGAATTCGAAATCTCAAACACGAATAAGTATTGTATTACACTATTTCTTGTTGGACCGTCAACGATGAAGCCATTAGTACTGCTGACACAGCCCGCGATAAAATTATGGGATAAAGTTGACTGCTCCCGACGACTCTACCATTGAACAAGGGCACAAGTACACTAGAGGATAACTAGGAAACCACCACCACCATCATCATCATTAACAACAACATCAGTATCAGCTGCGAGAAGAATGTGAAGTGCTACCTTTCAAAACCACAAGGAAGATAAGCAAGGGCACAAAGATCATAAAAGTAACGCGACAAAAGTAGAGAACCATCTTAACATAACGTATAGGGTGAATGGAACTCTGGGCAAACCACCAGCAGTTTCACCCATCTTCGGACTCATCAAGTAGGCGCAGTCACCGAACCTCCACCAACCTTATCTCCAACTTGAACAGCTGAGTCTCCCGTCAGCTCAAGAGTAGTTTACAGATGACTGTTCATTATAATTCATCTCAATTCATTAAACCGTTTGAGGACAACCATTCCATGTTCTCTCAACCCAAGCAACGAAGTAATTTAGAAAACCGCAGCCAGCTAGGCAACCGATGGTTTGACGGTACATCCCCAAACCGACTGTTTCAATGTTCGTTTATGCTGGCTTTCTTTTTACAGCGGTTAACGTAACTTTACCACTTCGTTGCGCGAGGTTTGTCAAGTCACTAACTGACTCACCAAGCAGCAGCCGTCAACCAGCTATCAGCTCCAATTCTATGTATACCTCTAGTTCTCTTAACGCGAACAGGGTCACAACAGCTTCGATTCAGCAGAGATGCGCAACCACTCAGACTAAGAAAACTAGACAGGGACGAAGATCCGTGAGCAGCCCAAATCTGTTACGCAGGAAGAGATAACAGCATCACGTAAAAGGGTTCTTCGTATACGTAAAACAGAAAACCATCATCATCGACAGCATAAAAACAGTGTTCAACACCGATGTTTCATTGCCGTGCAACCATAATTTATTTGAAAGCCTTATTGTAAAGAAAAGAGTAAAGGTGGATGGGGAAGGGACCTAGTACTAGCTTACCACAATCATTCCGGGGTGCCTATATCTCCAGACACCCACTCAGGCGATCTGGATAGAAACTGACAACAAGAACGCAACTGACATCTGTTGCCAGTCATATCTTGCAGCATCTCCAACCAGGCGCAGTGAGGATCCTGCGGTCCAAATCCTGGAAGGCGTCAAATCAACAGCACTCAAGCGTTCTGTAAATTTATTCATAACCCTCTACCAAGCCAAGGGTTGGTTACCTCTCTGCGTACGCCACTCTCAGTTGGACATGGAAAACACTCTCTCCGGCAAATGATGGTTAGGCATACGTAACACATGTCGTAACCAACGCAGCTTCCGGTACTGGACACATTCTCCAATGAACGTACCCGTTGCACAACCGAACGCTCGCTTTCTAATTACCTCGTTACGGATACGCCGACACCAGCCCACACGAGCTATGGTCCTGAGACAACGATTGTCCAAGACCTGAAGATTTCTCAGTTCCGCTGCTCGAACAAGCCAAGTCTTACAGCCATACAACAAAACAGCACGCACTGTAGCTTGATACACATGTCCCTTGAGATTCAGGGATACACCACTCTGACGCCATAGGTGTCTCAGATTAGCAAACGCGGTCCAGGCCCTGCAGATTCGTGCATTGACCTCAACTGTCACACTAAAATCAGAATTAATGCAACTTCCAAGATACGTAAAACGCCCCACAACTACCAGTACCTCCCCCTGGATTTTAAGTAGCGCCTTCAGTGACTGCACGACCACCAGCATGATAAGAGTTACGATCTCTTCGAAGGAACGAAAAGAATTTTCTGAGTGTATTTCGAACCAAAGCGCCAACAATCCAATGACTCGCCTAGCTTTCAAGGGAGGATACGTGGCGGAAACTCACGCCACCTGGGATTACTGGATAAATCGTCTTCGTGATAAACAGTAGTTCGGTTTGGATAAATTGGACAAGTGGAGTAAGTAGCAGCATGAAGTCCATGCGGGAGGAATCAGTGTTGCTCAAAGGGATGACTTCCATGCGCAACAGTAATTCGAAAATGCTTATGCATATAGGAAACCTATGTCTCATGGATTGGAGTGCACCCGCGAGTGACAATATATTCTGCATCGGTTTGTGCATCCTCTATAGGCTACTCATGAGCAGCATAAACTAAATGAAAGCTGTGCCCCTTCTACCGATCAACCGAAGACTTTGAACTGTTCTATTTAATCAGTTAATACAAAAGGTTACGTCCCAATGTAAAATCCTTTTAGACAGATCACTCCATTGAAATAGATCGCGCAAAAGCGTTCCGTGTCAGATCTGATTTGGTGTACGATCGCCCAACTAGGTCAAATGTCATATCTGCTTTGTGCTCTTGTTGGATATCGGGCCATCGTGAAGTAATAGATTTGGAAATGGCCATAAGCAAATCATGGGTCGACACCACAGAACCGGATGGACACAGCTAGTCGGGTTGATAAGCAGTTTGTGAAATGGATAAAGCTTTGTTCTTGGGTTCCGTTTCGAAACAGCAGTTACAATGACTGTTGTTGTCGGTCTCTGTGTGTGTGTTTGTGTGTGGCTGAAAGGCCATAAATCCCCGTTGGGGTTAAATATTATGTGTGGATTTGGAGCAGACCGATTAGAGCTGGGACTTAAACTAACCACTTGACGCGGAGAAGACGATAGTCAGTGAGGACGTATATATTCGCAGAAAATCATGGTGATTTCAGGAGGAGACCTGAGGTTTCGAGTGTACACCAATGCACTCACAAATGGTCATCATGCAGAGTTCGCTGGCAAACATAGTGCCGCATACCGCTAGGAGGTAAGACCACAGAGGTGGGAACTTGACCACATAGATCACAAGTCCAAGAATCATAACAGATGTGCCGGCAATCAGAAAAATGGACCGAACCAGGTAGATGGTACGATTATTGTGCACCATCTGGACGCCAGCAATCGCTACACTGTCGAAAACAAGCACAACAGTGAGAGCTACAAGTCCCATGGTAATAAATATCCCAGTGACCATGTGAACCCCACGTTCATACTTGCAATTGAATATCTGACCACAGGCCCATTCGGGGACGCCGAGTGCGATACACACGACGATCCAAGCAACAATTAGTTTGACGAAGAGCAGAACATTTAAGTCCATATTTGCTGACACCCGAGACTGTGCGGCTAAGGAGTGTTACAACAGCTTCACGGAAGAATTGGACAACATATTACTGGAACATTACTGTCAGTAATTGAGCCAGCTATGTCCGATTGATTAACGTAACTTCGAAATACCTACTCACGTGACCTGAACGATCACTTGTCGTCCCACCAAAGTTCACTAGCCACGTACCTTCAAATGGTCAAATCACCTCGTAGAAAAGGATCAGCGACTTATCCTAGAAGATTCCAACGAAAACCTAGATTCTTGACTAACACAGAACAATGGAGATCTCGACTAATTCTGCAGCAATTAGGTTGGTAAGTAGCAGACAATGAAAGGCCAATAACCTACAAAGAACTCAAAGTCTGTAGTATTTGTGGCGGCTCCAAGTGACATCTTGGACCGCTCCTGTATGCCCCCACACACTTCAAACCTGTATCTGAATGACTTCCGAAGCACGCGCCAGTGGCTATACATAAGGGATAACTTGATCTTGTTTGAACGCCGCCTCGTTTTGTGAGGGGGCGAAGGTATAAGGTACAAAATGTAGATCAGACCCATACGCCTGTGCCCACGTGCAACTTGTGCAGTGAGTATGCATTCACGAGAAACGTGTGATTATGACAGACGGTCTAACAGGTACAGAGCTGATGTCGTTAACCTACCGAGTACCTGAGGTCCGAAAATTTTCCTTCCCTCAGTGTTATTGCTGGACCTAAATAGATTCTTCTCAGAAAATGAATTTTTATCAAGGATACAGATAATGTAGGCTATAGAAGTACTTGCGAAGTGACTTCATTAGGTATGGAAATTACTCTGACGCACTGAAGAGCAACTCGTCATTTTTTCACTATCCGGAACGCTTCTCTTTAGAGGTGTTGCTACAAACCTACTTCACGGTACTCTTGGTGGGATCAAATTGAGGTTTCGGGACGGCCTAAATATACTGATCCATATGGAGCGGTATTGGAATCGTCTTCGTTAACCGCGGTGATCATAAAAAGGTAGCTCTCGTGCAAAATGAACTACTCAACGAATAGAAGTAGACACGAACTAACTCAATAACAGCTTAGCTGCGGGCCAGTTTCACCAGTTTGCCAATTCAGCTAACTAAGGAGTGACCACGCGGTAAAAGCGACATTGGACACCACGGTGACACTACTGATCACAGGAATGGGCTTATCGCCAGTGTCCTTAATCAGTGATGGGGCTCATCCTCGACTCTCCGGTCAAGGAGCTGACGGTTTGCAAAGCGGATACAATATGAAAGCGTTTATGGTCAAGCGACCGCATGTGTATCATGCCGACATGACTGAAACGTCTACTCAGACGCGAAGTACGACGGATGCTTTTAGAGGAACACTTTTCTTACGCTAAAGGGCTCATGCAAAATTCATAAAATAGGTCACAGGACCAAACAAAAGTATGAAGATGCAGTTTGGATTTAAAGTGACCGGGCGAATCTAAGTTGTGACACAAAACCCGAAGTGCTGCGTATTCCATCTCCTCAAGGTAGCTTAACTCCATAATGAACCATCTCTAGTTTTCTATCAAAACACTATGGCTTCTATCGAACCACTTTGAGAACTGTCAAAAAACATTTGGGAAAATCTCTGGATGTCCAGACTACAAAAATATAGGGCCAAAAGTGACAGAAACTGAATCAAACACCTTTTCCTCCGAACGGATGATGAAGCTACTTTGAAGTTATGCTATGGATTTTTACTCTTCTGTTTTCCGGTTTAAAATTCTGACTTGAGGGACAATTGGCGTCCGACATGCTTAAATGAAGAAATGTGACTTGGGAGCTACTGATCGATGAGTCCCTGCACACTGTGTTTGCAACCGGTATCCCAAAGTCAAGCCTCGAATGGCATGTTGAAAGCTTTGCAGCACATCAAATTCTGGTAAGATTTAGTTTTCTAACCATCCATAGAGTAGTTTATTATTGGACATGGTCGGCTACTGTGCTGTCCGACAGCACGGATTCAGTCTCTTTTCAAAGGTGACACCGATGCAGCCATCTTTTCCGCAGGAGGTAGCCAGACTAAGGAAACTGCAGTATTTGTTATTGTCTTCATAAGCGCTATGATACCGGTTCCCTAAAAGAGGCACTTTGATGACTGAAATTCAGAACAACCTTCCAATTCTATTCACATCGGTAACATAACTTACTGCTCTTCGACTGACTAGCCTGCAAACAAAGTTTGAAGCAAACAAACAGAAGTTGGGGGCCTTCGGAGTCACCGCTGCACAGTGGCTTGTCCTCGAAACCAGAGTTTCTGATCAGGCGGCAAATGAACATAACTATGGTGTACACTGAAAACATGTTGAGTATTTAAAATGAAACCCCACTCATGTTAGGGCCTAAAATCAAAGGGTAAAACAAGAACGTGGAAGACGCACCAGCAACGGGAGGGCCAACACCTGCAGCGAGGCCTTGAAACAGTAGCATGTAACCGAACGAGTTGGTGAGTCGTTCCAAGCCAAGGAGTTCAACAACCAGAATGCTTTTGAGAGAAACGAAAACCGCTGGAAAAAAATGGCAACTGAAGTTAAAAATAAGAAGTAACGATACATTGGCTGACGCCAGTAACCTAATGATTATGCATTCGATAGGGACTTCACACATCCTGAGGGCAATCTAGTAGAGTGCAAAGTGTAAGGCAGTAATAGGAAGCTTCACCTGAACTATTCTATAGGATACGCAAAATGCACTCATTTGCATTCTAATATGATTTTACAAGAGGCCCGACTGAATCTCAGCTGAATCTCCCGTTTATGTGGTACATAACAGTCACCTTGTGTTTCAGTTGGTACAATATCCGAGATATCTCAGTATATTACCTTGAAGGATGAGTTTCCAGCAACCCAATGAATAGTTTCCTGCAATAAAATATTCTCTAGCATGTTCTCTATTGGTTCAGAGTCCAGACATTGGTTTGGCCAAATGCCTGAAAAGCACGAGACCTACTTATGAAGTTCGCGTATCCTAGTACCATTTCAGCCCAACCTGCACACAAAAAAATGATTTGCACAGCCACCCCAGTTGCATATCAGGTAAGCGAAATCCATTTACTGGCGCTCTGGACCCACCAACATACAAGTGGAATCAACTTACCAGAGCAAAATCCGAACACAAGACAGACGAGGACCAGAGACGTATAGTGGGTTCGCAAAATAGGCATGATGAAAACGGCGAGGCTGGTGATAAGAAGCGATGCGTTGTTTAACCACAGACAGTTGGCCCAGGTGTAAGTTGTCCACCATGCTGAGAACACAATCGGTCAGAAAATAAAACAAACTCGGGTTACTGAGAGAGATGAAATTCCAGAAGTCTGTCTGATTCGAAACCCGGTAAGTCCTAATCGTCGAATACAGGTTAAAAGATAGGCACCAATATAAATTTTAGCTCGATCCGTATGAGCCGAATAAATGTGTAGGAATATCGACTTCTCCAACAGGGCTTTTTTGTATAGATCGTTTAAACAGTAGTGAAAGGTGGGGACACTGATTACTGGTTGAATGGTAACCTAAATAAGGATCTCACTAAAACACATTGTAGACTATTAGCGCGAGCCGAACTGAAATCACAAGCGTGTTCAGGTTGTCTTAAGGAGACCAGAACCAAACAGTCCGTAGACTACTCAGTTGAAGATGAAAAGCTTCCCAGCTACCAACAATATCCGTGACCTCGAGTGTCTACTGACAATGTTGGTAGTGTGAGGAGATTTGGGATCCTTGTGGGATTGGATTTCGTAAGTGAAGCCAATCTATGCTGAAAAGCCAAGAAGCACTGTACAGCTGTTTCATCCTTATTGGGAATCATCAACAGTGCGTATCTCACGAAACTCCGAAGAGTCTCGAACCCGCAACCTCCCGGCTAGTAGTTTGAACACTTAACCGTTCGGCCACGAGTGGCTGATCAGCAGTGTGATTAACTCGCACTTAGACAGGATATAGTGCCGCTGTCTATGTGCGAGTTAATCACACTGCTGATCAGCTACTCGTGGCCGAACGGTTAAGTGTTCAAACTACTAGCCGGGAGGTCGCGGGTTCGCGACTCTTCGGAGTTTCGTGAGATGCGCACTGTTGATGATTCCCAATAAGGATGAAACAGCTGTACAGTGCTTCTTGGCTTTTCAGCATAGATTGGCTTCACTTACAGGACGAAGTCTACTGACAATGTTGGTTGCTGATCGAAAAGTAGCTGACATGAGGAATAATAGGATGGTAACAATGACATCAGACGGCGGAAGTCTGGCAAATATGCATTTAACCCATGAATTCAAGGGACAGGGAAGTACTGTTCCCATTTACGTGTCTGTACAGCATCAGGTCCTAACGACTGATCGATTGGCAAAACAGCTTTTAACTTTGTGGCAAAACGGGCTGAACAAGAGGATAAGTTTGTAACGATCCTAAACCACTTTCAACACTGACTGAGTAGAATTTTTAACTATGTATACGATTCACTCCTTTTTCGATTTGTTCTTTAATTACTCATCAATGAATATTCCGGCTGGAACATCAGCATTCAACCGGCGATCAAATTTCCGTTTTGTCAAGAGCCCAAGATTGGACAAACGAGTGACTTCAAGCTAGCTCTGATTGTGACCTAAGAGAATCAGCAGAGCCTGATCAACTGGGATCTTAGTGTCGTATAGTAATTAAGTAACGAAAAAGACACAAAAGTGAGATGGGTTTCACATGTAATTAGTTGCTTGCTGACCGGAAAGTGCCACTTCGACGCAGCTGTTGAAACTAGGTGCCATGGCAATACAGGGAAATACAGTGACTGAAAATTCGTTTCCCAAGGTTTGACCTCTCAAGGAAAGCCGATGTAGGCAATCATAGAGACAAGCTACGATGGGAGCGTGAAAGCATTGGTGTTTCTTTCCAAATGTCAGGGATTTCTATATTTATGAAGGCGTTGTCCAGACCAAGAAACTGCGCAGTTTGCTCAACAGTTGATCGATACGGAATAATAAACCCACCGATCGAAACATGAATAAACGTCAGCAAGAGCTCCATGCGGCCCCCGAAAACATGCCATGTGGGATACATACACACATGACTCTCGTTTGATCAATCGTCCCTCAGTCCCAGCGCAATCATTCTGGTATGTCCACACTGGACCAGAATTCCGTTCTTATTAGAGCTCATTAGCAATAGCCGAAACTTGAACTCCGCACATCTGACATGTGAGGCAAGCGTGTTACCTATACTTCACTAGCATACGCTGGATTCATCCGAATGTTTACGTCTGAATAAAACATGTTAGCTCTTGAGTGATGTGAGCGGAACGCCCCAGTGCAGACATCGGATATGCCCCCCTCCCACACACACACACACTTTGGTGTGGACTCACCAGAATGAGTGCGCCAGGACAGGAGGACAATTGTTCAAACGAGTCATGTGAGTACGTATTCTACAAAATCACGCAACCACTGACACCTGAAACATATTTCATATGCCACTGAGAATAACTAACCTTCACAACCAAGTAGATCAGCTCATTAAGTCATTAGCTCCGGCAGAGGTACCTTACGGTGCAAAGTGTGTGTGTGTGAGCTGAGACAAATGGGAACCGTGCACACTAACCCATCAAGTTGCGGATCAGATATCTGAGTCAAACGTCCCAGGTGTGCTACCTCAATTTTATACCATTCCTCAGGTGTTTGTTCATGGAAACCGTCCGAAGTTGCAAACACGCTGTGGTGTCAGCTTACAAAAAGATTTGTGACTGTTAGTTTATTAACAACGCACTAGCTACTTAACTCAGTGGGAACTCCAAGGTGGGGTCTTCAAATCTACACTTTTGTCATACCTGTCATCAGATAGGTGCATAAAACTGATTTCATCTAAATTTCGATGTGCGTAATGTAAGTGCAACGTACAGGCACCAATACGGAAACTCAACCATAAATAACCAACCGCTGTGAAATGGATGTGGTTTGTTCTGTTTTTTCCACTAGGTATCCGGTGATCCCGAAGAAATGTTGTAGGAGTTTCACATAATCCTACAGCTGAGAATGTCTTAATGAGTTGGCGTCCGGTAACTCTAGTGCTAGTGGTTATCGAGTCTTCCGCTCAAGACTACCGCTGCTTCCGGGATACGCAACTCTACCCAAGGGAACATGCCGTCGACTGAAGCGTAGTGTAGCTTTCAAATGCAATATGCTCGCAGTTCTGTTCAGCGTCTCTTGCCTACCTCGAAAAAAAAACAAATCACATCCAGTACCGAAAACAGAGACGTATATATGTGAACTACTCAAAATTCAAACACAGAAATGACTGAGAACATGGATGACCGGCGCAATTTCGCGAAACAGCTGGATGAAGTGGAAAAAGAAAGAAAGAATGAAAGCGTTCAGCTGTAGCACCCTTCCGGTGCCTAGTTGCCATGCCCCCCGAAGGAAGCACGAGGGCTGGGATACTGCCAGGTTGCCCAAGCCTAGACAGGGGAAGCGAGTGGCGGAGGTCGGATTCGAACCACGGACCTTCCGGTCAGTGAATTCGCGCTCTAACCACTTGGGAGAAGCCGTGGAATTTTCCAAAAAGGCCTATTTATTGAGAAGGGGTTATTGTCTGCCTTTACGATCTATACGGAAATGAACCAACCATGACAGTACGTTGCAAAAGTCACAGCCCATTCATACTGTTAAAAATACCTCAAAATTCTACGAAGGTATGAGTAAACTTGTTAGACCAGACAAAAATAACGTCAGTTACCACTACTCCTTACCTTTTTCAATGTAAACAGCTGTTACGGCGACGGATTCCAAGGTAAACGCAGGATATGGAACAAAAGCAAACGAAGAAGTGTAGATAGCAACGCGTCATCAAAAGAGACATGCGTTGGAACTCGGTCTAGAAAAACTGATAGCAATATGTGGAACATGGCATCAACTGATACAAACATCCATACACGTCCGAAAGAGTCGAACAAAAAAAGCAAAAAGGTACTGCGTCTGTGATATAAAAATGATAAAGCAATCACCACCTGAGAACGTGGAAATTGAGACTATTGAACTTGTTCGCAAGAAACAACAAAATCTGAAGTCATACGAATAAGCCAGTTCCATATGACAAAATCGGAGACTACTATACAGGGAAGGGACAGGCCGGTGGGATGACAAGTCAACATAAGACGAAAGCGAGGGACGTACTTGCAACAAGTCGTCCAACTGTGTTACCTACGCCAATCGCAGAAATTACAAACCCCGAGTCGGCAAGCGTCCAATTCAATTCAGCCAACAAGTCGGGTAGCAAGAGGAAGGGGATAACATAACCTGAAAACAAAACAGACTCAACTGTAGTGGAAGGGAAACCTGTTAAGGGGTTAGAGAGAACACACGCGTATACGGAGAGATTACAGAGCACCACACAAAGAAGAGATGTAGCGGAGTCAGGATCGAAAAGAGCTGGTTTTACAGGACGGGGGAAGCGAAAAGTCATACGAAAAGCTTACTATATGCGTACGGGGGATGCTAAAACAAGGCGAAAAGGTATATTATAAGTATTGGGCATATGCTTTTTGCAAGGAAGAGACTTTTAGCCAAAGCATGATAGCAATTCATAAGTTGGCTGAGAACGATAATCTAAATTCTTCGAATTAGAATATCGTTAGCTGCGACTAAAGGTGACGCTCACATACATTCTCCAATACATAACCTACCAGGTCATGCCAAGCGGAAGGGAAGTAACGCAATTATAAAATGACTGGCCGTCAAAAAGTTACGATGTCTTACTTCTACCGATCAGACGTTGAGATCATGAGGTTTTTAATGAACACAAAACCAAGCGATAGGAGTTTCCAATCAGAGATATATTCAGGAAATAAAATTTTGGAAAGTAGGCTCACTTCGTCCAGTTCCAGAATGCTGTTGTGGTGGTTACACAATCCATGGCTTGTTTTTGAATACCCCGGTGTCTACCATTACAGTCCACATTACAGCATCCTTACCCAAAAAAGATCACGACGGGAGGGCTAAATAACAGCTCTCAAGGAAGACTACTGCATCGAAATTACAACTCCCCTTCAGGGGAAAGGTAACTAGGTGATTACTGATAGAGTCTGCTGTTGCAGGCTCATCACGGCAGTTAACTTTCTTGGGAAGTCTTACTCGTGTAGATCACTATATGTATTATTCTCCAGCACCAGGTGTGCTGGAGAACCATAACAAGGAAAACAGGACAGTTTAATATCTCACATTAACATAAGGCGGGGCAAAACAGTAATAACACCCGACTTACCCATCATGGTTGTCATACTTGAAAGTAGCATGAATAAAAACGTCCGGCTGCTGAGAATCCACGGGGAAAAGAGCTCCTGGAGAAAGGTCTGCATTGGTGATAGCTTGTTAGACACCTTGGAACAGCACCGCGTACACCAGAACGAGGCGAGGGTACACGCATAACAGTTATGGAACACGGATCTTAGACCGTAGAAACCACCACCAACTTCATCGTCATCGTCATCAACTTCCTCTTCGTCCACATCATCGTCATCGGCATCATCCACGACATCTAGATCGTCATCTTCCATGTCCAACTCTTCGTTTTCCACGTCCCCCAGTCGAGAAACGAGATCAGCTGGATCGCCGCCTAACGGTTCCGCGGAACGGGCAAGTGTGTAGGTCGTGCCACGAGAAGGTTGTAATACTGTCAAGGATGCTTGCTCGTCTTGTACGGAAACACGAGTATCTAGCTGGTCACTGGGAGCGAAGTTCGTGAGTACAGTATCCTGTAAATTAATGAAATAGAATAACGCGACTGAGAATGAGGCAAGGAGAAAACATATCAGTCTGTTTAATATAGCTACCTCCCTCATCCATCATAAATCGATAACACTATAGTTCGACGAAACAAATGAGAGCCCTAAACCACATTTTGTTATTACCTTATGACGGGAAAATCTTACCCGCAAACGGAAAAAATGTGTCAGCTAGTTATCGTTCACTTTCCTGAGTCGTTTGTCACAATAGCCATGGAATACCGATAACTTTAGTAGTCGTCCACCGACTGAATAATGTAGGATGAAGGGATGTTTTAGTCCTGTGCGCTGATAGTTGACTAAACCACATGATAGCCAAGATCCGCCTCGGTGAGCGTCCCCACTCAAAAAAACCCTTAGTGGGTGATTGCGGTAGGTGAGAAAACAGACAGAAAAACCCACCTGCTGTTGGAAACTGCAGGTATCTGTGGTGTCCATGACCACAGGAAAAGCTGACGGAGGCAGACAAAAGGCTGAGGGAACCTGCGTTGGCGGAATCGTTGGACAAGGTGCAGGTGGGATGAATGTCGTCCCTCCAGTACCGATGGAAGTAGCCACACTGATATTGGTTTGGCTGTTGTGCGACTATAATCAAAAACAAGGTATATTTTCTTATAGTAAAGTCACTGAAGTTCTTATGCTGATGTCTTGATCTGATGACAATCATTCCCGACGACGAACGGCTGAGATAATACATCAAAACGAATCTAGCGGATGAAACAGCAGAGTCCACTGAGACCAGAAAAAAAGACTAGAAGGTCAACTCGGTAAACGATACACAGATTTGCCCTCCTGGAGAGACTATCCCTCAGAAGAGGCTACTCTTTGCTGGCCCCTTGAAGTATATTCCAATGGAAACGTTCAACTCATTTACAAGATCCCACTGTTTGTGGTGAATAGTCAATTGTGTCCCCGTTGAGTCATTTACATCGAGATAGGATTCCTCTTTCAGGTATCATATCCCACTGTGTGAATAGTCAATTGTGTCCCCGTTGAGTCATTTACATCGAGATAGGATTCCTCTTTCAGGTATCATTCCGTAATATAGGATACCCCCATCAACTCGTGCAGATTTTCATCCACTTCTACCCAAATCGACCATCTTGCAATCCATTAAGAAGTACTTTCCTACCAAACTTCACTACGGCTAGCTCTTGCGTGGGCATTAGCCAACTTCTTGGATGTCCAGAAACACAGTAGGTCCATAGGCGGCGATCGATCGATTTAATCGATCCAATGTTGATTCTAGTATCATGGACCACAGACAGCGTGTAGACCCACTCGTTCAACAGGGGACCTGGTGTCGACAAGGGCTTTCAGCCGGCTACCTCGACGACAACACCAGTCCTGGTAAGTTTTTGGGCTCAAGAATAGATCTGGGCATAATATGGTCGTATGCATCACTAAATTCAAGTTAGCTTGGTGCATTTTTATTCGTTTTGCAGTAGGAAACACTTTCGACCGAAAGCTTCCCCATTAACTAAGGTAGCAAACTGGTCAGTACGACCGGTTAGTTACCGGATAAGCCCGGTTACGCATGTAGTTACGCGTGTAGTAACGACCAGATTCAAGAAAATGGAGTTTGTTGGAAACAGTTCGACAGAGAAGAGGATAGCCGGACACTTAGATTATCGAACGGTGACGGACAAAGATGGAGGATGGCTTAGTGGATTAGTCTTGGATTCAGTGTCCTCAGGTAGCCATGGCGACACATAGCATAATAAATATCACTAGTGATCGAAAAACGAAAGCCTCTAAACATGTGGCCTTAAGGTCAACTCGGACGGTATAAACGGGGAACTGAGAGGAACCAAATGACTCGCGATGCCAGGAGAAGAACAAGAAAGAGATGTTGAAGCATTAAGAAATGTAACATTGTGCTGCTGAGATAACTAGGAAATAAAACGAGTAAGGAACTCCAACAAACATATTTTGATAAGAACCGATGTCCGATCCTCATTTTTAAATAGGTCATCCACATCAATAAAAACGCGGGTGCTCCATCAAAAACTAACTTGAGGACACGTACAATCAATACTAATATTATTACCATGCAAACATATACCCAAGGCAAGTTCACCATCCCAAAGTCCCTGGATTGTGTTATTTAGCATTGCTTGAACATCTTAAACAGACAGTAAGCGCGCGAAATTCCGGTTTCAGATAAAACTTCGCAGTCAGGGAAAAATGAAATGCATTCAGTCTGCAACATACTTCAATTGCTGCAGGCTCCATGGTCGTTGGTTGTGGGGTGACAGCAACGGATGTTCGCAGTCCACGCATTTTGAACCCCGTGTTGCTCGATAAAATCAGAGCGGACGGACAGATGACACTGCTCACATGTCTTTTCAATGCACCGCCGCCACTAGCAGCCAAGCTAGGTGGCATCACAGCGCTCGGACGCGTGAAGACTCGCTCCCTGGTAACCTGGCCTGAGCCAAGATGAAGCACAGAGCCAGTGTAGAATAAGTCTTTTTTATGCTGAGGTCTGGCCAATTCCCGTCTAAGTCGGGCATTAATGTGTGCTTTGATTTCATCATCCAGAAGTTCAACCGCATCCGCGGTTGGCACGGAGACAATTGCCGTGCCACCACCATTAACTGGTACACGGGACTCCAAACTCGCATCAGAAGTAGTATGCCGAAGGCTGGTGGACTGAATAGGAAAGAAAGAGTAAGAATAATTTACTGAAATATTGAAACGCATCAAGAAATGGAACTCAGAGCAACGCTGTGGTGTGAGCCTATCCACAAGTAGTAATACCGGTGGCGACAGTCCCAGGTCGTATACGTCATCAACATAAGAGTGCCGACAGGATCATTTAGCTGGAGCAAATATTTACTAGTGATGGACTTTCGTGATAATGATGAGGTGGGTGAGTGCACACCCAAAGAACTAATCAATCACCAGGGCAGCTCCGGTGCGGACATCAGTGTATTCAACCCAGTTTATACATTTTTGCTCGTTTCAGGATCACGCTATCCAAAGTCCAGAAGATGTACCGTATACATTTACGCTTCAGAATAAGTCACACACACTAGAAGAGGTCTGAAAACAAGATTACAGTAAGAGTAGGGATATTCCATAGGGGCTCAGCGGCAGATACAAGTAGCGCGCAAAGAGCGGCTTTTCCAGTATGCTACGTTACCGCATCTGATGAAAATAAACTGTTTTACATGAAAGGCACCTAGAAGGAGCTGAAAATGAAAGCAGCCCAAGCAATGAGTCTACATTATATTCCTAGGATGGTTGTGATGTTCAAACATCCTGAAATAATAGAGGTGTTCAGATTGTTCGACTTGTGCACGGAACTTAGTCGGTCAGTTCATTACATTAGGAATCACGAGCTCGAGATAGCTCAGTGGCTAGGGAGCGAACTTACTGACAAGAAGGCCCATGGTTCGAACTCGACCCCGGCATCTCGGATGCTCATGTTTAGGCTTGGGCAGGCTGACAGCCCTCATGCTTCCTTCGGGCGGCATGGGATCTAGGCATCGAAATGATTTCGCAGCTAAACGATTATCTATAATTGCATTCACGTAAATCCTGCACCCTAGGTCTTAGAGTACAAATGGAAAATAAAACCACCCTGCTTACATCATACTTTACAATACCTATATGAATAGCTGACATACGAATCAGATTTTTCGGTCACCAGTGTTCCAACCACTGGACGCCTGTGCATAACAGGAGACCAGAGATAGTTTGCGTTGGGTCCGGTTTGGCGTTGCGCGCAAGCCCTTGGCGCCAATGTAGACTTAATGGAATGAGATCTTCCGGCAAATGTGCACAGGCCTGTCACAAGCCATCAGTCGGACTAAAGTCTGTATGACTATATGTGAATATTCCACAAAATTGTAACCCAAGGAGATAATGGAACGGATGCAAATCCCTGTTCTGATTACACGGTTTAATGAGCTCCCAGTATGCAGACAACCTTTATCCGAAGCAAACATTTTGACAAACGCCGCTCCGAAAATCCACCTGATTCAACATTACACGAAAGCGACGTAATCACATCTGTTCGACTGATGAGTTCAGCAGGCCAGTAAGGCGATAAAATTGCTGTTCCAAATCCCTTTTCGTCGTACCCATACAAGCCTTGAATCTCGTGACGAACAGCAAGCGTCCACTCCGAATTCAAAATAATAATGAAGTGATCCCTCAGTTGCGGAGCTCTTCCAGTGTTGTTGCGTACAACTTGAGGGAAGCATGAAGGCTGAGCTAACGACGAGCTGCCCACGCCCAGATAAAAGCGATCGGGAGGCCAAGGTTGGATTCGAATTATGGACCTTCAGTCAGTGGTTTCCCACCTCGACCGCGGAGCCGTCTGCATCTAATGAACCATATTATTGAATCGACGGATAAAGATAATAGCTTCAAACAATGCTAGATTTTGACTAATCCAGATCTGGAATTTCTAAGATTGATCACACAACTTCCGATTTCGAAACGGCTGCCAAAATCTATCCTACCCTGCTGTTGCTCGGCGATCGAAAAGCAAAGTTCATGAGGCTGGGATGAAGCGATCAGAGCGCAAGTCCGTACACGAAAGGAACGTATTGAGGAAGTTGTCGTACAGCACCCTACCAGGAGAGCAGTGAACCGTACTCATTCTATTCGTTAAGAGTACCCCACAGAACGCTCTGCGCTGGTAAATGGCAGTCATGTTAGTATTAGCGAATGGACCGAACCTAATGGCGGTGCAATAGCGTCAATAGGACACTTACATGGCCTCAGGTTGGAACGGACAGATATCCAGCGAACACTTATAGAAGTTGGAACCCAGATGTAGATGTAAAAACTAGAAACTCACGCTAACAGTATGCTATTATCTGCACTGCGGTCTGGTTATTAATGCTGGGAATTTCGTCACAGGCCTTCTCAGTCCTCTTGTCTGGTTCCGATATCCTATGTACAACCACTGGAACATCGATACTGCTCGTGTGATGAGTGTGTAGATTATAATGAGTAGCAAAATCAGTACAAGATAAACAAGATGGAGGCAATCAGGGCACATATAGTGAATGTTCTTCAATAGACTTGAAGAAATTTAAAGGTGGGCAAGCCATGCAACGCTGAGGTAACGGGTCATTTTCTTCAGGATGGAAGAAGGAATGTGAGCGACAGAGTAGCAACAGAAAATAAAAATAAAAAATGCAAAGCGTGAATTTCTGTGGATCCCTTTATTTATTGAATTAAGCATCTATGCACTCAAACACAAATGCCTTCACAAATTCACTCCCTCATAGTAAAAATGAATGAATGAAATCAAGTAGGACGCCATAGATTACTGCATAAACCCATAAAGCGTCACGCCATTAGCTCAGCTTGCACCGAATGCCTTCCTAAAAGCGGTTAAAACACTGTGCATCAGCAACACATAAACAACTAAGGAATACGCTGAAACAGACGGATCACATACTTCAGAGGTACAACTGGAAACAGCTGGTTTATGCGGATGCTTTAACGATACTATGGGGGCTTGCGTCAGCTCTTGCGCCGGAGCCGTTTGACCAACCGGTATAACTGACGATGGGCTTGGATTAACCGGGGTTGAGTGCTCTGGGCTTAGTACTAGGCTGTCATCGGCACCAAGTGAGATTGGGGCTACTGGAGATACAGGTGGAGCGTTGACGTTGGTGTCCACTTGAGACGATCCAGATGGTTCCTAAAACAACAAAGCGGTAGCATTATCGCCATGAGGTACAGGATACCGAAGACATTGTCTGGATGGGGAGGGGGGAGACATACCACGATCGATGTGGGCCTCATTGGGACAACTGCAGATGCGACGGAGACTTGGGGTGGTAAGTTGGAACTCAGTAAACCGGTTGTGGAAGGATTCACCAGATTCATTGATTGTTTGTTTTGTACTACTGATAGCTGCGACTGAATGTATTCTTGCACTACCTGTGGTAGGTTGACACGCAAGTGACTGCGAGATAACTGAAATGAACCAAAAGAAAAGATAAGCTGAAGTGCTTACAAGAAGTTGTAAGAAATAAAGCGAAGTAGGAAGAATGGCAACATCAAACAGGCAATATCAGATTACCGAACAAAGGGTTTTATTTCAAATGGAACAAGCATGCTGACAGAATCGCATCATTCGACTGACGGAAGGCACATTAATCGGACTTCACTTCACAATGTTTTCGAAGTTTATTGTCGCTACGGATACTCAGATGTAAAGGAAACACGAGGGACATGTGATAAACGCCTAACAGCAGGAACCATCTGCCCCAGAGGGCACTGCTTACACAGGCGAAAGGGAGGTGAAACGGCTCCTGGTTTTTCACGGGATATGCCGGCCAGCCGGCAACTGAGACCACAAACTTTTGGGCGTCCTCATGCGTTGTGGTTAGAATTTTGTACATGGTTACATTTTTTTATCTGAATAAACTGAGAACAAACGTAAGTACCAGCAGCTGTGCTGCGCTATCTCTATCAACAGATACATCTCTCCAGTGTTTTCTAGGTACAACATATTTCCCTCCAAAACAGAGAATCAGTTCGGTAAATGCCAGCTCGGAGAATCCTTCCCAAGAACCACCCAACATTTGTTTTAGGCGGAACCTGCGGTACCGTGCTAAACTCCACGCCCATTCACGGTGGAGGCGGATTATCATTCATGAGGCAACCTGGTGCAGTACAGTTCTATCCTCTCAGAGTGAGCTAAGGAGGGAATGGTTCCCTGTTGACAGAACGGCAGGGTAATTTCGAGGCACCGTTTTCTTCCGAAGATGGTAACTTGGAAATTAAGCATTGCTCAGGTTGCCTAGTGGATACACATTCATCAATTCTGTGATTTCGCCCTCAGACGTGGAATCGAACATCGTTGGTTGCAGCGCCCAAAAAAAAACCAGGGAACTAGCCCAAGATCAGTGCATGGCAAGATGAGCACTGATGATGACGTTCAATAAGGATTACACAACTGTACGGTGCTCCTCGGCTTTTCAGCATACATTTACTTCACTTGCAGAAGCCAACTTCATTTAGAAAATTTCCGAAAGTTCCCCCACTCTACCAAGAATAGCAAGGAGAATAAAAATTGGGGAAAAAATGTTACATTGCCATAAACGGAAATCTATCGTCCATATGATAACTACGCAGTTCTCTATGATACGGCAAACCGACCTCAATCCCCAAACTGCGAAGGAAAATTACAGGACCACACATAGTTTTCAACACAACTCCATTATTACTGGACGATGTGGAACGATTTCAGCCAGTAATTGATCGATAATAACATAAAACAAATCAGAGATAAGCGCTAAAGCGCTCAAAGTAAAAAAAAAAGTTAATAATTTGAACAAGGACGCAGAAATATTATTCCACTGCCCCAGAGAATAGGAAAAGCAAGAGTATTTAGGGACAATTTAGATTCTTTCGCAATAAACCTACCAGCAATCGCTTCATTGCGATCCTAATGAATAAGTCAATAAAAGTTGGAGAGACTTCTCCATTCCACTTTTCAGAGCAGTTACCAACTCAGGTCATAGATTCTTTATCTCCACACTGGACGTGCTCGTCGTGTTCCATAGGTTTGCAACCACGTTACGAACAAGACTGTTTTCGACTCTTTTTGAAAGACACTCAGTGATGAGACAAACGTCCAATATGTGCATGCATGATGAAGGAAAAATAATGGAAATACAAAAGCACCAGAGGACAAACTCACACCGACACGACTACCTCCAGTGATATCACCGACGACGCCGGTTTGTTGTTGCTGCATCTTCAGTTCAATCTTACGAGCAACGGATTCAGATATTCGATTGATGACAGAAGCGCTGAGTAGAGGTCGGTCGTAGCCGGGTGCCAATGGGGCTGCAATGAGTTCATTATCCCGAGTGATTACCATACCATCCAAACTGCCTACGGAGGTGGTTCGTTGCCGACGTTTCTCCTCAATAATGCGTTGCATAATTGATCCGCTGTTACGCATGAGAATACAAAGGGGAGGCGAACTGATACAAATGTACGCACTGATGCATGAGAGGATGTAGAATAAAAAGACCGTCTTACGGGTTCGTTGTAAAAACCACATCATATGATTAAGCCACGTCCAAATATGGGTCTAACAAGCTATCGAAAAAGTCTGAAAACATGAACCGATAACCATGTTGCATGGCCAATTCCACGAAGCCTAACAACTGTGTGGTTTCGAACCTCACAACTGTGATTCGCCTCCATAGGTTACGTAAACAGCTTAAATAGATGGGAGAGAACTAGGCTGAGCTCTCCCTTCGTCGGGGTCGTATTGACAAAACGTTTATCTGTGACCATAATTTAGGAAACCGTCATGAATAGCAGAAATCGAGAGATACAGTCTTTGGAGACGAGCGTAGCTCCTACTCCATTTAAAATGGGAGGCCGTTGTGCTTGACACGGTGAACAACCAAGTGAATTATAAAGTTAAGACCGAGTTGAGAATGGAGCTACCATTACGTGTTACTGTACGTGCGGGACAAGGCTGCCCATATGACAGCTAGGAAAAAAGCCATAATCTGATAGTTCACCGCCAAACCACAAGGAAGTTCACTGCGGCTTGGCTGGTAGCAGGAAAAGAACTCAGAGTCCATTTATGAGTTCATAAAGTGGGCTGGACTACATCCTGTCAGGTCTGGAGGAAGGTTTGTGGCAGTAGTTGCCATCGGAGTGGTTCGTTGTTGGTGCCGCCGGCACTCGGAGTAAAGTAACGTTCCGAATCAGCTATTGGCTTATTATCAAGTCAGGAGCTGCTTGGCATTTCGACCGCCACTCAGCGTACCTTGGTGGCCACAAATTTGGACGGCCGATAACCGAAGTTTTTCTGTAGTACTGCCCGATCTCTTACAGCTAATACACCAAAGACTTCGGGCTACGCCATTCGTGTTGTTTCTCGGACATTCAATTCATTGAGAGTTATGGCGATTCACAAAAAAACGACAATCTCAGGGTTATCTGAAGAAGCGAGTCGGAGGCATTTAATTCAAACTCATGAGGATGAAAAACCATCAATTTGGAGAGGAAGCCGTTACAGCACTTTGCGATTATGTATTCCTGCACCGAATACCAAGCACAAAGAACCGTTAGTAAAACAGGTCAGAGCAGTCCATGGCTTAATATTCTATTTACGAGGTGAATGCAACTGGTACAATAGCACTAGAGTCCGAGACTGAGTAAACTCAACTTGATGAAACTAGTTAAACTCACCGATAAACGACCACCCGCCGACTTGGTGCTCGTTTTGCGGCGTGATTGCGACCAGATTGATTTCTACTACGGAGCCACCCTGTGCCACCTCTAGGGGGTGCTCCTGTTGTTGGACGTGTCGGATTCACCCCAACCACTACTGAACCCTGTTGGTTGGCAGCGGTAGTAACGGTAAACATCCTACCACCACGCCCTGTCCGTGTTACCATAGTACCCATCCGGGGTCGATTGGCCGTACCACGCAACATGCCATGCGTTTGCAACATAGCCCCCGTACGAGCATCCAGTTGTGGCATGACTGTCGATGGATAGCTTGGTTTTGCTCCAGAGATTTGCCTGTACTGTTGTTGCTGCTGTTGAATCTTCTGCTGGTATTCCATAGCCTGAGCAGCGGCTACTTTCGCTGCGGAGAGTCTTTTGCGCTGACGAGCTTCCATGAGTCGAAGCTCTGCCTCCGCGCGTCGCATTGCGGCATCCCGCCTGGCTGCCTCCCGGGCTGCGCGCTTGAGACGCTGAGCTTGGCAGATGCGAAAATGAACTTCCAGTGGCCTGAAGAGGACAATCAATGACTGTCGAGGAATGGTAGAAAAAAGCCGAGGAGGGAATAAGCCATAAAACGTTGTCAGGACAAACCACAAAGTAGAACAGGCTAAAAGGTTAGGTCACTTACCAGGGCCTGGAAACTAGTCGCTGCCATCACAATCAACGCACCTCGCCATGTCAGCCAATCAACAAGGCGGGGAACGGCCTGTGCCCCCAGAAGACACCCAACACCACTGCCGCAAAGTGCCAGTCCAACAGCCAACGGCCGAGACTGTTGAAACCAGTGACCGACTGTAGCAATAGCAGGTAAATATATCAAGGCAAAGCCAATGCCTGCCAGTGGGGATCAATAGGGAAGTTGTATTAAACTGTGTGCATCGGGAATTAAATAGGGCAACAAAAACACGTTTAAGAAGCAGACGCGGTGTCACCCACCCCTTCAGAAAAAAATTCTTTGCACTGAAGTAACAAATTAGGTTAACGGTACCCGGGTTCATGAGCTTGCATGAATGTCCAAGCAATATGGTAGCCTGGTCCGTAAACTCATTGACGCATCACATTATCAGTATATTGTTTCGTCCCTCCTGTTGTGCACTCGAATGATTGAACCAGAAGTAGAGAATGAGGATTGCCGAATTATGGGCTTTGATATTCTAACAATTTCAGCATATCAGCCAAAACATTAGGAAACTAAGTTAGTTTAATGCATAGCAAGTAAACAGTAAGCGTCACCAAGGTTTCTTTGGCTTCATAACATATTATCACGAACCGTTAGTAGAGATAGTTTCCAGAGTAAGGGGAATAAAATGGTGCGACATTATTCTACACAGAAGCGAATGCTATCAGCTCCTACATACCTAAAGGTTTCTTAAATTTAACTTTAATTAGGCTTTCTGGGATAAAACGGCATCTATCTTAATCTATCTTAATCGTATTCACGATGTTTGTTCCCCATAGGTTATGATTTTCGAGAGCCCACTTTCTCAGCTAAGTGCAGGAGTCAGTTATAACTGAGAGCAGTTGGTATACCATAGTCAAGCAAGCACTTTAAGTCTTGCCTAATTCACCCAAAGAAACCGAGAAACAACTACACGACCAACACCTACCTCAACTGGTCTTTTGTGAGAACAAATTCTCTTTAATTGTCCTTGAAATTGTACCAGTGGCGCATTTCATGGTCATTATGTCGTTGATGATGACTCAAACGAGTCTAACTGTTCCTAGCTGACACCTTTGGGGTTAACCAATATTGCGAAGTTCCTCGCACGACTCGAAGTATGTTCACAGCCGCGGTTCGATTGCCTTATCTGACTACTGTATTTTTCCCCGTCTACGAGTGGCTCGAATGGCGCTGATATCAGAAAAAAGGATTTTGAAGTTTAGGCCAACCGTTTGTAAATCCGTTCCTCCAAAACTACCTGAAAGTGCTCCTGAACCAAGTACAAGGTAGCGAGGTTGACCAAGATACATACTAGTTCGCATACCGTCAACCTCGCTCCACAGTAGAAGCTGATGCTTAACTACTTAAATTCATCACTTCGGAAATGGACAAAAAGCTAATGTTTTACGCCTGATTCGTACTCGATACACCCATACCTTTGGTAGCGTTGACCGAGGACGAGTGCTGCTGCCCATTATTAATGTGTGCAGTGAAAGAGAACCGGATCAGGTCGGTTGAAGAATACCTCACAAACCACATACAATTCACAATCGTAGATGACTGACTAGTCTCTTCTTTGCCGACTAACAGTGATACTCCCAGAGCGCCACCAATCACTCATCTCCCTATACGTAGGGGCATGCCCAATCTTGATTTCCCCATCCGGTACAGACGCTAATGGCTGTACCCGTCGTGTGCCTGAAACGCATTTGAAGGTGCAAACTGCGCTGGGTGAAGCGGACAGATGAACAGGTCAAAACTTTCTAACCCCCAATAACCTCAAAATCCAAGGGGCTAGCCCTTGTCTCACTACTGAGAAAATTAGCAAGACCAGTTCAGTGGCAGCCATCTCTTTGACATTTTCAGAACTTCCTGTGTGAAACATGCAGAAAATTACCCTAACGGCCGCCAAACCCACCAACTGTCTTCAGCAGAGCTCTAAGTCTAGCATTTCATAATATGAGCCTGAAAATGCTGCTAGTTTCCTCAATCTTATTTGTATTTGTTGCTGCTGGTTTTGGTGTCGTGTGTTCTTTTCAGATATCACTTGATTAAGACTATTGCTTTATAGACGCTAAAACACCCCTCACGGTGCAGTGGGAACTCATTGGACTTCTTGGTTGATCCCATAGTAAGCAACCCCTTGACGATTGTTCCAGATACACTCAACGAATTATCCACCAGAATTAAACCTACCCTAACTCTGTGATCCTTTTCTTGGCTTTTTTCCAAGTTAATCTCACTACCCTGCGCAACATCCAACCTCGCCTAATTGTGTGAATACTGATTAGTGGGTGCTTCAGGTGATATTGTGGATAACTAACGGTTAGTTTATCATGTTCACGTGGTACTACTGTAAATTTGCACGCTAGGGATTCACCCTATGGTGCAAAACACTTGACCTGACTTCGCTTGACTCAGCTGGGACGTCCTGACGTTGCACAGTTATTTCCACCTCCCCTCTACTTGAGAGAAATAGTTTTGTATTAATTTGACGGACAGAAAGTGTACATTGCAACTGCGCACGGCAACTGCGCACCATATTAGTATTCAAGGATTATCTTCCATATGGGAAACCGGCGGTGTAATTGACCGGAAATGGTTCCTTCTCGTAGAGACGCAACCGCTGGAAAACGGAATGGTTTCTCCATATGGGAAGACTGTACGTCGTCACTTAATCCATCAAGGCTTAAATCCACTTTTAACTAAACACACATCGACAAGGAAAGTCGAGCAACCTGTGGATAACCAGTCACATGCCGGGAGACTCGCGTTCCGTTTTTTAGACCAAAAAGGACTCCTTCAGACGTCTTAAAATACACGTCAAGCGAATAATTAAGCACACCCACACACCAGACAAAAATGCATCGCATGTCCTAAAACCAGAACGTTCAATAACTTGATGGCGTTTCAAAATGCGAGTTAGGAACTGAAGAGAGGAGAGTAGGTACAATGCACAAACGACTCGATTATTTTAGATGGGCTGGAGTAGAACATTGAAACGGCGCTTTCCGTGTAAGTTGTAGATTGAAGTAAGGAATTTCTAGGGAGTTTAGTAAATTAATGATGAGACAAGGGTGATCATGTCAGATTCGTTGAGTTGAAATTATGCGACAAGGGTTACGATAGACTTGAAAATACCCCAGGTATTTCACGCAGAAAGGGGGACTGTGAAATGAACAAGATTAAGCGACCCCCCGAACTCTGTCGTTGTTCATACGCTTGGTAATTACAATTTGTTTTGCGTTGACCATCCAAATATATATCGCAGTAGAGACGGAGTAATCGTCACGTATGTTGCACAAGCGTTCGTTCTGAATCCTCTTCAGGATAACTTATCTCTCCAATTGCACAATGCTACTCCTATTCGATCTCAATTGTGAACGTATACACTACGTCAAGTACTTCAGTGTCTGAGTTTACTGCATTTGCTGATCCCTCCTCTCTGAAGTACTTGTCTACTTACCGAAATCATCATCACCATCATCATCGACAGCATAACATCAGTGTTCAACACCGATGCTTCACTGCCGTACAACCATGACTTATTTGAAAGCCTTATTGTGAAGAAAAGAATAAAGGTGGATGGGGGAGGGACTTAGTGCTAGCTTAACACAATCATTCCGAGGTGCCTACACCTTCAGACATACACTCAGGCAATCTGGACAGAAACTGACAACAAGAACGCCACTGACATCGGTTGGCAGCCATATCTTGTAGTGTCTCCAACCAGGCACAGTGAGGATCACGCGGTCCCCATCCTGGAAGGCGAGCAGCACCGACAGCACCCAAGCATTTCGTGATCTCCTTCATACTCCTCTGCCAAGTCAAAGGTTGGCCCCCTCTCTGTTTACGCCACTCTGAATTGGG